TTTTTTTTGGCGCAGGGTTTCCAAAAACGGTCATTCTTCATTTAAATTTTTATTTCCATACATCTCTACCAGTCCCATCAGTCTCTATGTGTGCTTATTTTCCAGGCAACACTATAAGCATCACATTTGAATTCAGTTTATTTGATGATTCAATGTTGAAAACTTTAGATTTCAATATTTCTCTTCATGAAATGCAATTATTTCTTGACCCAAGAAATAATAAAAATGAGTTCTCATCTCGTGCAGGCGAAGTGGAACAGTCAAAATGCTCAATCCACAGAAACTGCACAAGCTGATACAAGTTTCCTGTTTCCCGAGAGCAGTTTGGAATACTCTGGGGTTTTTGTTGCTTAAGTTAACATCACAACTCGCATAACAAATGGAATACCCTGAGTCAGATACACAAATGAATATATTTTGATGTCACTACCAGAGTATAACCTGATTTTTAACATGCTTTACTTGCGTTACCGGGTTATTGATTTGCATGTAATCTGGTACAATGGGTTATTTCAGAAAGCTAATATTTGGGAGTTATCAGAATATTGGCATGCATGTAAACATGCTCATTGTCAGCAGTTGCCTTGAAATGGAAGTGGCAGAGGTTGGTTAAAAGGTTGTAAGCAATTCTTTTGCAAAGTTATGCCAAGCATTGATTGCTGCCGACTGTTGCCTGGCAAAGTCAGTTTACTGTTGGGTGAAAAACAGCCCTTATTTAAAGTTCTTTAAATGCTGGTATTCCCAGAGCTGGTGTAGAGATTAGGATCTTTTGAATTCTCAGTGTTTGGAGTTGAATATGCCCACAGACAGATTGACAAAGAATAAAGCACTCAGACATTTATCAGTTCACAAATTCTCTTTATGTTGTCCAGAAGTGCCAGAGGCATTTGCTCTTAACTCTCTCCTCCACTGACTCTGTGACTTCTCTGTTCTCCAGCCCAATGATCCAGTCACTAACATCTGTCAGGCTGCAGACAAACAGCTGTTCACTCTGGTGGAGTGGGCCAAGAGAATCCCTCACTTCTCTGAGCTGCCCCTGGATGACCAAGTCATTCTGCTCAGGGCTGGTACGAGCACCTGACATTCTCACACTCATTTTGCTGCTGTCTGTTTGGGTACTGAATGTTTAATCTCTTGTCAGCCTTGTTTAGTGGCCTTGCTAATCAAAATAGAGTTATTATCTAAAATATATGTATATATCAAAGTATTCAGCATTCTGAAGAGGAATAGAGGATGTATACACAGGATGTGTTTTTCCTTTTAAAAACAGCTAGATGGAGTACAGTTGAATAGAAAAGAACCGATAAGTGTCTTAAAATGCAACACTCATGGCACAAGACACTAAAGTAAAACCACAACAATGTGATTCAGTGGCCAAAAAAATAAAACTGAAAATGTATAAATGTACATGAAAATCATTTTACTATATGATTGTGATATTTTTATAACAGGATGGAATGAGCTCTTAATCGCTGACTTCTCTCATCGCTCCATCAGCGTGAATGATGAGATTCTGTTGGCCACAGGTCTACATGTGCCCAGAGAGAGCACTCACAACTTGGGCGTGGAGGCCTTTTTTGACAGGTCACACTGAACTATATGTTTACAACTGTTTAATAATATAGTTATTTTAGAGGTTTAACATGTTCATAATTTCTGTACAGGGAAAGTGCACAGAGTGCAGAGGTGGGAGCCTTATTTGACAGGTAATACTGGCTTTATTTGTGTTTACTTCATACCTGTGTGGATGTTATTTGGTATAGAAGCCCAATACTGTCGTTGGGGTGATTGAGACGTCATTTGCAGAATGGTTATTAGTCTTATTTTTTACACCTCTGCAGGGTGCTGACTGAGCTGGTCTGTAAGATGCGTGATATGCAAATGGACAAAACCGAACTTGGCTGTCTGCGTGCCATAGTTCTGTTTAACCCAGGTAAGCATTTTTTAGGTTTATCTAAAAATTATTTAGAAGTCAAAAGTCAGTAATGGTTTGATCAATATTTCTGCATTTGACTTGTTTCTTTTTGTTGATTGATTGATTGTAATTTTTCAGTGGATAGTTTAAACTAAAAAAAAAAAAAAAAGATAATTTACTCACCCTTATGTTGTGCTAAACATGTTTGACTTGCTTTACTCTGCGTAAAACAAAAGGAAGATATTTTTGAAAATGTTTTTTTGTCCATACAGTGAAAGTCAGTGGTGTCCAATGTAGACTTGTGCCGGTATTTGGTAATGCGATATATCACGGTAATGAATATGCATGTTGTTTTGGCCCCAACTGACATTCATTGTATGCATAAAAAAGGTTAAACAGTTTTATTATCAGGTAAAGGTCATTAACAATTTAGGTAAAACCAGACTGGCACATCAAAATATTGGCCCACTACTTTGAACTCACTGTGTATGTAAACACTTTCACTGGCATTTCGGTAGCATATATGTTATACTCTCCTTTGACATCAAAGAATGGTGTATGTTTGTGCTAAACATTTCCATTGTTTCTTAGATGCCAAAGGTCTGACTAGCAGCAGTGAGGTGGAGCTTCTCAGAGAGAAAGTGTACGCGTCCCTGGAGGCCTATTGCAATCAGAAATACCCAGATCAGCAAGGGAGGTGAGTATTTTCGTACAGAAATTAATTCCCTAAAAGCCTACATAGTATTTCAGTGTCAAAACCTGAGTTTTATTCGCCCAGCTTTCGCAATCCAGTTTAAGCAGATGCTGAAATTTATATTGTGCATACAAATAAATTATGCTATCGGGCAAGATTAATTCTAGTCTCGCTGACCCTCAGAATTAATCTTGTGTTGTGACTTTAAGGCTACGTTTACACGACAACGATGTAGTCAAAAACTGAAAAGTTTTTCCCTTGCGTTTTTAAAAAGTTTCACGTATACATGACAACGTTTTCAAAACGATTCGCATTTACACATATCCGCGAAAATGGATAAATTAATAAATAGGGCCTAACATTAATTATAATCTATTAATTGGTAACTAAACAGCTGCTGGTCCCCAGTAACTTCCATAGTAGGGAAAAAATATAGGCTACTATCGGAGTCATTGGGGACCAGAAACTGTTTGGTTACCCACATTCTTCAAAGTCTGTAAACGATGACAGAATTTAAATTTTTGGGTGAACACCGTGAGCAACTGAAATGCTTCTCTGCAAACTACACGTTCATCATTAGTTACTGTACCGACCCGTTGATAACTTTCCCATTCAGCCCTACATCTGGAGAGCCTCTTGTGTTCAAAGGGCGGACCGGGCGGACGTGAGGCACGCAGGTTTACCGCACGCTGCGTTCCATGTGAAAGAGCCTTACCGGCGCGCGTTCTGGAGACTCCGTCGCAATGGAAACAAAGACGCCAAAATGCAATCACGCGCAAATGAGCTTCTCTAATACTTCTTATGAAATTTATTTCATTATAATTGCTATTAGTATTATCCACCCTGCAAAATCCTTGGCCTTTGTAAAATACGGGACAAATCGCGTCCTGTATCGATTTGATAAGGGACGCATAATTTTGCATGCCGTATTATTCGCATGGCAAGCCTACGTACTGCGCATGTCTACATACCTAACACGTACTACGCATGTGCATGACGTCACCGTTTTCAAAGATTCCCGTTTTGGGTGTTTACACGGAAACGACAACGGTGCCGTTTTAAAAAACTTGCACTTTGAAACCCGTTTTCAAAAATATGCGTTTTCAGTCCCCAAAACGCCGTTGTCGTGTAAACGAACAGTCAAAACGCATAAAAAGTATCCCGTTTTTGGATGAAAACATTGTGTAAACGGCCCCTAAATCTACTACACGTAAATGATCTCTTTTCTGATTTACTGACATTTTTGTATGTGAAATCCTCAAGCGTAGTTCACAGTCATTCATAGAAGTCATAAGCAGTCATGTTACCGTTACATATAGTTGTGAGAGTATGGGAGGTGCCAAAAAAATTAAATAAAAATCGCCTCGCTTGCTTACAGGTTTGCCAAGCTTCTCCTCCGACTTCCTGCATTGCGTTCCATTGGCCTTAAGTGTCTGGAGCACCTTTTCTTCTTTAAACTGATTGGAGACACCCCCATTGACACTTTCCTAATGGAGATGCTGGAGTCGCCCCACTAGCTGCGTCAGAGGAAGATTGTGAAACAGGGTTTTTCTACCCTAGGTCCTGGAGATAACTGTGACTGCACTTTTTCTTCCCAGGTATATATATAAATATAACAAGTTTAAAACTTAAAGTTTTTAAGTATGGAAGCTCCAGTTACCTGACTGGTTTAGATAAGTGGGGTTTACGTTTTGTTAGAAGCATTTGAGGCTTTTAAAACACTGTGGATGATAAGCTTTAATCGTATGTAAGTGTGCTTCACCATCTCTTAAATTAAGAGTGCTTTCTTCCTAATTTATTTTGCCCCGACCTGTAAGGACTGGTCAAGTGGGCGGATAAATGAATGAATTCATTCGGTATTATAGATTTAAATTGACATTTACTTTGCTAGTGTGAGAAATCTGGCAAATAAATCTATATGCAATGAAGCTTGAAATGATGCAAAACAGAAAAGACGATGTATAATCTCCCAAAAATGTACGTGATATTGTGCAATGTTAAGCCTAAATCCAGAGGTGGATGTGAGGGAAATGCAAGCACTCTTTTTATTATCTCACGCACTCATGTTATTATCACATCATGAGTGCCTAAACGACATATGCTTGATATATGTTTTTTTTTTTTTTACGTTTGCAGAAAAAAGGACAAACAAAAAGATGAATTTCTGTTTATGTCATCAGCAGTTATTGTACGAAGCAGGTTGATTTCCTTTCGTTCTTTTTGTTTTGCCTGAAGTGTCCTAGGCTGAAATTGTCTTAAACCTGCATTGGTTTTACTAGTTAACTGTCAGTTAATACACTCTCTTCTCTTATCACATATCAGGTAACTGTATAAGAGTGATAATTCCTCAAGTAAACTGCACTATACACAAAAAAAATGTCATTCCTATTTTTTTGTGACCATTGTCAGATAAAAAAAAAAAAATTACTTTTGGTGCTTCGACATTTGATATTACAGCCCTAAAAAGTGCACATGTAAAACTGCAAAAAGAAGTACAGCTATCTTCAGCTTTATAGAGATACTAAATCAGAGCAGTATGAAAGTTCATTAGTGTGGACTTGCTGTTTGTATTTGGAAAACCTTCCAACTTTAAATTTCTACAATTAATTTCTTCTAGTACTCTGCAGACCCTATTGTTCAGGGACATTGTGTAGCTATTGTGTAGACATAGACAGGCTAGGAATCGATATATATTCTCTTGCTTTTATCGCTTTCTTTAGTTTGTAGTTGGCATACAACTTGCAGAAAAGACATAGTTTGCACTGGATTTTACCATGAATCCTAGACTTTGGATTTTGTCTTTTATTTCCTTTCTGTGATCTGAGCTTATTTGGTTTTCGTTTCTTTTTGACCTACCATTGATAATTTAAAAAAAATGTTTTGCTTTACCATGGCATCTTTCTGTTCTTGCTGAAAAAGTTATGGGGACAAATGCAAGCTCACTTTTGCCATAGATATATCTAACAAACAAACAAACAAACAAACACACAAGGTTGTTTTTGTATGGTCTTGTACAACCAACATCTTTACTGCATTAGGCATGTTACATGTCTGTTGTTGCACTAAAATTGTCATACAATTATGATTGTAATGAGATTCCATCAGTTTCGATGTTGTCACAGCTCGTTTTAGAGGAGCTCTGTGACACTGCAAAAGAACCATCTGCTGTACATGGCCCTAAATAAAGGTGGTGATATGTCTAACAACTCTGTTCTTGGAGAGTTTGTGTGCGAGTTGCATGCGCTATACTTTTCAATTGATTTTTTTTTTCTGGTAATCTCACAGTGTGACTTTGTATCTCGCATTGTGACTTTATATAAAAAAATGCTACTTTATTTTCATAATTGTGAATTTACATCTGACTTAATCTGATAATGTGACTATACCTCCCAACTATAATTGCAACTATACCTCTCAAAATTTAACTTTTTTTTTTTGTGTAATTGGAACTTTACATCTCAAAACTTTGGCAATATTTTATAAATTAACCAATGTTATGCGACTAAAACGTAACCTTTTGCCTCGCGATAAGTCATGGCAACAGATTTTGGTGGGATTTTGGCTATATTTATTCAAAGGAGGCGTATGCGTATGCGTGTATCTTTACAGAAGCAGCACAGAGAGCCGCTTCAGAAACGTGCGTGGCGCGGCTGCATTCTGGAATAAACACAAGCATTGTGGCCGCAATCAGCTTCAGTGGCCGTATCAGAGCCACACTGCACCGCAGACGTGTGCAGTGTAAATTGTCTAAGCATTAATGGTAGGGAAAGCCCCCTTATACTGGAGAGCAGCCACGTATGATGTGTTTCTTGGAGGTTATAGTACATTGAAGAATGATCATATGACTTTTTACATACGCCATGTAACCTGTAAATGCGAAAAAGCTGTTTCTATTGCAGTTTTGCGAATTATTCCTTTTTCGCATTGCCAGAAAAACCACCTCATGCGAGCGTAAAAACTTTTTTGCGATATATGGGCATTTTTGCGAAATTGACGCGTTTCCATTAAGCGTATTTTCAATTCGCAATTTCAATTTGCGCAATTTGAAGGGTAATGGAA